GCTGCTGCCTCAGCTTTGACTCGCTTTGACCCTTCGTATTTCCTGCCGCCCTTGCTGCGCCAGCAGAATGCTGTTGGCTCGCCGCCTCCACCGCCGCTGCCACAGCCGCCGCCTTTTCCCTCCGCTGCCGTGCGGCCATCTGCCCGCTGAAGCAAGGGCCCCCGGCGCCCTCCTGCCCGTCCCCTCCCCCGCCGCCGAAACCGGCGCTGGCAACTGCTGCGCCCGCTCCATCGGCATGAACGCCTGCGTCCAGCCCCGCGCCGCCGCTGGGCGCGCGCCTGCGCCGGCTGGCCCCGGCGGGGAGTGGCTCATCGCCAACCCCCACGATGCGCGTCAGCTTGGGCCGCTGGCCCCACCGCGCCTCCTGCTGCTCCTCCCACTCTGTCAAAATTCGCAGCAAGTCAATGTTATCGGCGGCATCCACCTGGGAATGGTAGGAGCGTATGCTGAGACGAGGCCGGCGGTATTCACAGTCAGGGGTGTGAGCGGCGAGAACGCTGGGAGCGGCGGACAACGGAGGTGTCCGGCGCAACGTGGGCGGACGCGCCTTGTTGAGTTGGATGCCAGATGCCATTGACAGCCGCGCCGCGGCATCCACATAGCCAGAGGACAGCAGGAAACGCTGCGTCAGCACAATGAGCGATGTGCGCCTTTCCCTGTCTCGTCGTGCTGCAACATCACGCGCGGCCGTCAAGCGCTTATACAGCTCTAGATCGCCAGCAGACGCTGGCATTATCGAAGGTTTGGTTTCAATATATGCGAATGCGCTCAGGGGCTGCACTAGCTATGGCGCCTTTTGTAGAGCTGCCAAAAACACGACAATTGACTTTGTCCGTCGTGCGCGTTATGATGCGGGGAACAATGGATTGTTGACATCTATGGAATGTGGTGGTGTGAAAAGCTATCTAGTGATCCGAAACGCGGGACTCCACAGCGAACAAATACCGGCACTGACAGCTTCCCCGCGACAGCTTGACGCTGGGAAAATTAGTGTCTGATAAGGTGTCCCAGCACGGGCGTCCCAGAGGCTGAGCCACTGTGCAGGTCGCTTTGGCCGCCCGTTTTTGGGCGGCACACCGTGAAATTGGGACAGGGGGCGCCACGTCCACGCGACCCTGAGCACTGTGGCCGTTCGTTAGGGCAGGGAGATGAAAATTGCACATGTCCATATAGACCGCTGCTCACATACCGGAAACCTTTCGTCAGCTCCGCAACCAACGGCGCTGGAGCGACGCTCGAGGGATGGTGGGGGGCTGCTGTGGGCACTTGCTTGGGGCCATAATCATGCGCCACCTGGCCAAGGAGTTCAGTCCCACCGTCAACAAGCATGAAGCGCAGGCAAAGATTGCCCCCCTACTGTGGCTGCTTTGCTGCTGGAATCCCTTTGCCCTCACCCTCCTGGCTGTGGAAACACGACTGTGGAAACACGCCCGCTGGACGGCGGGCGCGACGTGCGTGATGCTGGCGGGTTGCACCTTTCTGGGTCCCAACGTTTTACCGCCTGCACATGTGCAGCGCTACAGGGCTGTTGCCGCCCGTTGCCGCTGCCCAGGTCCTGTGCTGTTCAGGTGTTTTGCGTGTTTAAAAATGCCTGCCGATTCAGCAGGCTGGGGCTTGCAATAAGAGCAGTGAGCTCTCTCCAGAGGATCACATCACACTCGTGTCTGCAAGCACGAGGATCATTTCGCACAGCATTCATATTTACAACGTCGGTTCACAGCGTCAAGAACATCCTGCATCAACGCCATCTCGCCATCGCACCGCCGCACTGCAAGAAGCAGCCACCCACCGCCAGCTTGCGCCGCGGCAGCCGCCTCGGCGAAAGCGCCACCCGCAAAGCGCCGCGGCTGTTTCGGAGCGGGATTGGAAGCCGCGCAAGTGGCGGGCGTTGTCACCAGACGCGCTGGAGAGCTTGGCTTGGCGTTGCCATTCAAAAGCCCAGCCGCGCACTGGGCAGCCGCGTGGCAATGGGCCGGTTGCACTCTCGCCCCCTTACAGGTCGAGCACGCTGGTGGTGGACGTGGTCGCGTTGTAGATGAGCGTGCCCCCAAACGGCACGAACTGGCGCGTGATGAGCTTGATGGCCTCCTGCGCCGCCATGCCGCCCATGACGGCCGCCACCACATGAAGCTCCGACGCCCCCATCCTGCGAGTCGCGGGCCGCGGCCAAACAGCAAACAGCCTCGATAAGGATTTGATTTGGTCTGTGTGTCGTGAGATTTTGAGTGCACACGCGGAAGCAGTAATGTCTGAAAGCCATTACTAGTAATGGCTTTCAGACGCTGACTCTGCGCCCAAAAAGCAGTGGACGGCGGAGGGCTGCTTGCCCATCGGCCCTGTGCAGGCTGGCTCTGGAGGCTTTGCCTTTTGACAAAATGCGAAGCCTCCATGGGACCATTGGTCCGGCGCAACCCCCCAAGCCTTGCTTTCTAACCTCCCCCCGCCCCCGCCCGACCTCCCACGCCCTTTGCAGTCTGTGGTGCAC